TTGGTGTACAGAGATGGATGCGTTTCGCTCCAGCGACGAGGCAAGTGAACGTGTGGTGAGCGTATTGCAGGGAACGCTGGATAAAAACTCGCCAAACTTCCTGATTTACATACCTTTGCGACGTCTGGAAAGGGAAGAAGATCAGCAGGAAGATATCTGTTCATTTAGATATGCTGGCGTAATGGGTCTTTGACCAAAGGTTTTGAGAAGTTGATTTCATTTACGAGCCGGCTTTCCACTAGTTATTATCCAGACCTGGGCGTTTCTTCAATTAACCATTTCCATTGCATACCTATTACAAGTACCTAATACCTCAAGCATAGACCTCTGTAGAGGTCTATGCCTCAAGTTATGCGCACATGAATCCTGGGCATAGAAGTCCGAAGGTGGCGCACAGACAAGATCCCCAGGTAGGTATGTTGCGTTCGATACCAAGTCCCGCTCCGTCTATTGTAGCTGACCGACGGTGCACTGCGCACATTGATCACTGCCGGCGGGGTATAGCGGCTCGGTGCGGCCGCCGACCGTGCAGGACGAGCCCCGGGGGCATCCTTTGTGTCGACGGCGCCGCTCGGTATTAGATACCGGTCCGCTCGGACGCTCTGCCATCTCCGGCGCGGTATTAAAGGGTGCTCAAATAACGCAGCATGGATATCTGTAGGTCGCAGCCAATATACAGTTCTCAAATGGCGGTATTGAGACGGGTCTCAGCCAGCCGTGCACTAGACGCACGAACAAGGTGAAATACGGCTCAAGTGCAATAGCTTTCAGCGCCATCGTCTAATTCCCTCGGCAACAGGTCCCTTTTATAACGAAGGAAGCATCCGTAAAGTGGGATCCGTTGGCTACGGTGAAACAAGCTACACTTCCTTGGAAAATAAATGCATTTTATATTATAATAAAAACGTCAAGAGCCCTCGGTCCGCACGGAGCGATATAGGTCCGCGCTCCGAGCATGCTTTTGATCTTTGGTCACTGCACAGTGCACTGGTTGGTATTGGCAGCATGTAGTCCCATTTCAGCTGTGTACTACCACAGTGGCGGCGGAACACCTTCAATGAGGGGGGGGGGGGGCACTGCCGACTTTTGATCCTATTCTTTCCATGCAACGCCCATAGGGCTAATGTTAAAATGCCGAAATCAAAGGGGGACACGGTGCCCCGGTGCCCTTCCCGTTCCGCCGCCTATGCACCACCACAGTTAATCACACATACTCTGTGATTAGTTATTACACAGTCATTGTCATGTGGATCAGTCCAAGACAAGGAAGGCTGATGCTGGTCATCCCCTAATTACACGTAAGTACTAAGTACCTTATACACTTTTGACTTAAGCGATCTCTGAACTCCCAGAAGCTGCAATAAACTGCCCTGATGAAACCTTCCGTTCAGCAGCCTATGGCTGACGTGTGCAGTTTTCCAATGGACAATAACGACGAAGGTCACGTTGCTGTGTAAAAGTTTCTTATTTCCTCCTGCCTGTACGGCTGTTACAAATCTTTCTCTCGGGATATTACTCGATTAGACGGATCGCCGATAAATTCGCTAATGCTGATGACATCGGCTCATTTCCACCACAAGACGGAGCGAGGATAGGTACAGGTGATGTATCTCATGGTCGTCAATGGCTTTATAGCTACATTATTAATTTGGATCTCATGAGAAAAGACGTTTGTTTCTTTTTCAGTAGGATTGGGTGAGCCTTGGTGAAGTTGAATTCCTTCAGCTCAGATGATAAACATCTGCCCGGATCAGCTTTCTTTTCGACAACAGAAATACATCACTATATAGCATGCATTTTTAATTTTCGCACTACACATCTTGTTCACTTGTTAAGCAGTTACTTATTGCAATAGAAGTTGCTTTATGAGGAGAGGCAGCCAGGTGATATTCTAGGATGCCTCTCCGTATGTTCAAAATCATCCAATCTGAATATCCAATATATAACCATATTCCCAAAAGGTTCGGGAAAGTTATGTTAGGCAAAGGTAACGGCGCAGGCAGGCTCGCATTCACCCATGATGTATTTTTATCGACCTCCTTTATTGACGGACATGCACCCGATATTTAACTTCCCGACTACCCATAACACAGACCGCGGACGCCGCGGCGGGAGCCTGCTGTGCGCTCAGCGCATACCGTAGCGGCGGCTCTGCGCTGGTAGGCTAGCCCGCAATGGCGGCGTGTCAGGCGGCACAGTCTACCTTCCCACTAGCTGCCGCCGCGCGACGGCACGCCACCACAGCGCTGAAAAGGCACTGCACGGGTGAGGCTGACGCGGGACGCCTCGTGGTTTTCTTAATTCTTTCTTTAATCCTTAGTACTCGTCAGAAGCCCAGAAGAAGTAAAATCGCTACACATGTGATTGATGAATGCAGTATGCGTTTTCCTTTCCAGATGTGAGAGCTACAGCGAATCCGACCTGACCTACAGTAAAGTAAATTCAGTAGGTATGCATCAGCTGTTTGCGGAGAAGGACTTTTAGGTATATGGTAAGGCATCTCATATCGATCAGCACCTGATCACTAGGCGACTGGTGACCACTGCCTTTTAGAATATTTGTAAAGCCATCGCTAGGTAGTGTCTTTAAAGCATGCGCTTCTAACTTAGGAACAAGGCCGTGATGATACCGTATCTGCCTGACTGGTCACGAAAGGGTCACGAAAATATGACATTGCGAGTGTTATTTTTAATATAGACGAATAACATCAATAATTGTAATGCTTAGGGTGGGGGGAAACTGGAAAGTACCGCTTGCATCGTTCCTATGATTCTAACTGGTGGTCAGCATTTTTTTTTTTCAAATACGGCATGACTATGTAGGTATACTGTACATACAGGTATACCCATGGCGACACATTTCACATGCAATTCTGATCCCAAATCAGGCCACGTATCCAGCTGGCGACCGCAGCCTACAGATCAGCAGGCCGTCGTTCGGTCTTTAGCCGTCGGACCATGAAGGTACCCCTAACGACAGCTCAACTGATCGTAAAGCCATCCGAACGACGCGGCCAGCGGCGCCCGACGACAGGGGCGGGCTCAACAGACGTCAGCGCCGCGATTTTCAGGGCGATTATTTTCAGCTGAGGTCCACCCAGTAGAGGCGTAAATTTTACGAGCAGGGTGCAACTGACACTGTCATGAGCGATGAAAAGTGCCGATATGAATGGAGCTTGGATGGAGTTCGAAATGTGACCATTGATCGGAGATATATGACAGCAAAACGTCCGAAAGAAGACAGCTCGCACGTCAGTCTCTGTTTGACATTGCATTTCACCGTGCACAGCACACAAACGTTGTTCATTACAAGTGCTGTTGAACGCTGTCCACTACAAGTTCATAATGATGTAATTGTACAAGCATCATTTCAGTGTAGTCTGTGTAGTGTATGTATTACCCAGTAATGGCGTTGGTTGACCCTGACGGGATGGTTTGACGGGTCCGAGGTCACACGTAGACGCCCTCGTATTCCCTCCTAACCCATCCCTGAGACCCTGAGTCAGGCTCAGTTTTGGCCTCCTCCGACTCCGTAGCATGGGCTCGGTTTCATGGGCGCAAAGCATGGACGCTCGATGTCTCCACGTTAGACGGAATACCTTTATTTACTGTACTCGTAGCTGACGGTATATGTCTGGTAATGTGCGGATACCTTTAAAATATTGGTAGGTAGGGTACATAAGATCATCTAACAAATGTATAACCTGCCCTTATCATAAACAGGCCTAATCGTAACTATGAGATATAATTTACGATGTGCTTGGTGATAAATTACGCGCCGTAAAACGTCATTGACAGATTAAGCGCCCATCTCAGCTCGTAGTTATAACGCTATCATCACAAAATTTACGGACTCGCCAGGCCCGCACAGGAGCTCAATAATGTCAACAGAAGCCGTTTGACATTATCGTGAATACCCACTCAACTTCGTATAAATTATATCTATCAGATACCTACGTTTGCCTTCCTAGTCCCAAAAAGATATGCAAAGTAAAAACTACAATAACAGACCTTTCTTCAGTGTCCCGACAACGAAATTTATGCATGCCCATATTAATCAAGCTCTAACAACCCACTCTGGCCCAAACTTGTATCTAAAGGTTTTATTTAGACCAGAGAATCAAGCAAAGTCGAAACCCAATGGAGTCAGGACAGTCTTGCATTAAAAGCGTGACGGCGCTATTTCAACTTAACCTGACCTTTGACGCTGGAAAGGTAGAACTCTTCAACAGCATGCGTCATTGAACTCCGTACACAGTTTTGCGAGTTGCCGACGAACTTTCTGGGGGGGGGGGGGGGGAGGGGAGCTTGGGCGTCTATACCTTCAAACGCCCAGAGAGGGTAGCCATTATCAGCAATCTTACTGAGCTCACTAGGGAGGGCTCCCGAATTTCGCGGACCGAGGAAGTTTCGCTTTACCACTGGGAAATAGACAAAAGACATTAGGCACAGTCTCCAGAGCGCTGAGCGCACCTTTGCTAGCTGTGCTCCGCATGTCGTTGAAGCAAGCCAACCAGCAGCGCAACTCATCTTTAAAGGCAGCGTACCATCCGGAGTGACCTTTTCTGTTTCCCTTTTTTCAGCGACTTTCTTATTTTCACCAAAGGAGATTTTTAAACGAAGTGGTTTAGCGGCTGATCTCGTTAAACTTGAAATATAAGAAAGAGTCACACAAACGAAACAATAAGCTTAACAGCTTAGAAGAGCTACGCATTCACGCTCTGTCTGCCGTACCAGTCTGCACATACTCGGAAGATTCTCGGGATTCAGACACTGAAAATAATCCATCTATCTCAGTGTACACCCAAAGTCCACATCTAAAGTAGTTAGAATCAGCAGGTTACGAACTCGGAAAACTCCGCGAATCACACTATACTTCGTTTTTGTTGCGGTCCTAAACCCAATTACTTTCGTTTGCCGTATCGCCGCCGCCAACTTCTCCCGGCATTCGGAAGGAGCTGCTGGCCGACCCGAGCCGAGGCCCTGTACAAACAGACGAGCTGAGGGCCGCAGTCGTGTATTGGTTTCGGGCGGACGGTGGGCAGTGTGCGAGTACTCTCCAGCGGCAGCGGCGGCGGTGTGGCCGCACCTCACGGAGGTCAGCTCGGGGGGGGGGGGCGGTGGGAGGTCGCCCAGCCGTGACACGGGCGCACGGGAGCGCACAAACACGGGCGCACGTGAGCGCCCAGACACGGGCGCACGGGAGCGCACAGACACGGGCGCACGTGAGCGCCCAGACACGGGCGCACGTGGCCCGGCCAGACGTGACAGATCACACTACAACCCGACAAGTCTGCCCCGGACCGAGCTAGGGAGTGTTGTACTGTCCCGGAACCCGTCACAGGTTGTCCGGTTTATCGTCTCGGAACCGTCACAGGTTGTCCGCCACCTCACATCACGCCAGCGTCACGTCGTCACACTGCGTTACACGGCGTCCACAGCCGCGTAACAGCGGTGGGCGGTGCCCACTCTGCACTAAGTACACACTGCACGAGCCACCGGTCGCGGCGGGCGGCCCTGCCTGCCGGTGACAGGCCATGCTCCGCCGCGGCGCGCACGGCGGCATTCCGGCACCGACAGCTCTCTATCCGCCGAGTGGCCGAGGGCCGCACACCACGTCAGTGCCGACAATGTCGCTAACTGACCGCCGGTGACGCCACGGACCGTGGTGACGGTACCATCACAATCAGCAGCACAGCCTGTCCTCACCCGGCGCCGCAGGGAGCGGGCGCGTGGCCGCCCAGGACGACGACCCGCGGCGCCGCGCAACCGCCTCAACGAGGCTCCGGCTTTATATACACATTCTGAAGCGTTAATAGAGGACCGAGTCCGGTTCGGGACGGCCTATTCTACTACAGACACACCGAAGAAAAACAGATTGAGTGGTTCATTGCGAACCAGGCAAACGAGACTAGTCTTGTTATCTCGTCAGTTGATCAAACTAATTGTACCTTTGGTGTTGATAAAATATGGCCTCCCTCTCACCGCCGCAGCCTTCCTTCCTCTCGTCAGCAATTTGTGCTCAGCTAAAACACGCCACGGACTCCTCAGAGCCCAAAGCCAGAGTGTCCCTGAGGCGCCCCATCCCAGGCACCCGTACTATTCCACGCTAAAACTTGCACGCCAGTCGATTTTTGGGCGCTCGTCGGAAGAGGCGGGCGCGTCCGGCCGGCTTTTTGGGAGGCGCCGCGCCCGGCTGGTCGGCCGCGGCCGCCTGCCCCTCCGCGGCCGGCGTAGCGGCGGACGGACCGGCCCCGTTGGCGGCAGCCGGCGCTGTGACCTTCTCCGGCCCGGCGGCGGCGGGCGCGGTCTCTCCGGCCACAGGCTTCTTCCGCCCGCCGCCGGCCGCCCCCGGCTCCGCCTTCTTGGGCGTGCCCTTCTTGGTGACCTGCATGGGCACGAAGCCGCCGTGTCGGCCACCGTTCACGGCTGAGCGGCCGCCCTGGCCGGCCGGGGCGGGGGCGGGGGCGGAGTGGGTCGACTTCCTGGGCCGGCCGTGACTCTGGGCGGGGGCGGGGGCGGGGGCGGGGGCGGCCGAGTGTGGCTGCCTGCCTGCCGCCGCCGGCTGCCCGCCCGCGCCGCCGGCCGGCTGTCCCAGCATCTGCAGTAGGCTGTGCGTTATGTCCCCGGTGGCCGGCGGCGGCTGCGTGGCGCGCACTGGTGTGCGCAGCATGTTCAGGAAGTCGGCACCTGCCGGAGACAGCACCCGTCAGTCAGTCCGTCCCTGTCACCGGGCGGCGCGTCACTGAGACTTGGCCGCGCCGTCAGCGCCATTAGCCGGAGATCAGTCACCTGCGCCATAAATGTCACAGCGGCCACCTGCGCCGCGGCAGCCGCCGGCCCGGATACGGCCAGACGTTAACACAGTCACCGCCGGCTGGCTGGCTCGTTAGGACCGCACACGGTTAATTAAACAGCACTTGCCACCGTCCCGGCAGTCTGGAGAGCACCATTCACTGCACAGTCATAAAGCTGGGACCTAGGCACAACCAATTTGCAGTAACATAATTTGCACTGACGAAATAAGTAGCGTTCGAACAGAAAGGTCAACCAGGTTTACTGCAAACCTTGGGGAGGCTTTGAGTAGCACATGATTGGCGGCACGACCACTTTAACCAGAAACGACTTATCGAAACAGTCCGCTGTTGGGGACAGTAATAGTTCGTAGGGCTATCGATTGCAGAACCATAGGTGCTCGTAAAAACTTGAAACTTGATCTACAACTTACTTGGAGATTAGCCCACTTCAAATAAATTGCACGATGTGCGACCAACATTTATGGCTCATAGGTTATTGACCAGGCGAAACCTGTAAAGAAGATAAAGCATTGACCAAAATAATTTTCCTCTATTCTTAACCCGCGACCGCCTGGGGGGGTCGGATCCGACCCCCCCCCCTCCGTTTTTCTTGAATAACTTATGAACCGCTTACGCTATCGACTTGAAACTTGGCATACCTTCTCCCCCATCAATTTGACGTCTCCTGTGCAATTTTTGAGAAAAAAATTCCAATTTTTTTTTAGATATATCGATTTTAGTGATGTAACTACATGGCGTTTTCAGTCAAAAAGCGGTAAATGTTAAAAAAAAAATCGTCAAAAATCAGGGTTTAAAGCAAATTGCAAAGTAAGGACATGAATAGACGCCGCTCAACGAGTTCTTTAAAATGCCTATCTCGGATTTCCATAAAATGCGGTTTTCACCCCTAAAAATTCAAAAAAACTATATTTTTTTTGGAAACAGCTAATAAAATCCAAAATTTTGAGAAATTCCAAAAAAACGGAATATATGTTATAGAACTCTATTAGAACATTAGATGTCCCAAATTTCAACTTTCTATCTTGATTTTTAACCCCCAAATTGTAAAAAATAGCTCCAACATGCATAGGGCATGGTGACGTCATAAGCACTTTCGTGAATTAGAGGCACTTCTGAACATCGCATGCGAAAACAAATGACACTACTAGATTCCTGGGACAAAGCTCGTCTAGAAAAGTGCATTTTTATGTCAAAAATAAAAAGTTGAAAAATTGACCTTTTTTCTTAGCCCTCGTTTCGTTATGTATGGTATAAACGATTTTGTATGCTTTCAATGCACACTTATCACCAGCACAGTGACTTGGGGTCACATATAACCATTACCATCGGATTCGGCGTGAAAAATAAGCCATAAAACATGTGTCGCACGCCCATGTAGCAGAAAGTGAAAACCGTGACCTTTCGTGACCTGACCTGACCTTGACCCGTACTTAGTATGACCCCTATACGCACATGGTACCTTCACTAGGTCTTTGAGGTCATTTTTGGTGAGTTTCGAGCAGCAGGTGTCGATTCCGCTGTCCGTAAGCCTAATCATGCAAAACCCCAGAATTTGACCTTTGACCTGACCTTGACCCGAAAGTTGACCTCAATCTTAAAATCTTAAGAGTGCTTTGGGAAGGTCTCGTAGAGACCTTTCGAACGCCGCCTCGCGGGGCTCGATGCGACCATTGGTTCTCGAGATAACGGGGGGGGGGGTCGGATCCGACCCCCGACCCCCCAGGCTGTCGTGGGTAGGGGAGAGTGGGGTAATTTGGCCGCTTTTTTTAGAAAACGATGTACCTAAAAATCGACAACACATTTCTGCATTTTCTCAACGCTGACAGGTGTGGCATACATTTTACTTTCTTGGACAGTAAACTTGAAATGATTGAGTAACTACTTATATTGAAATTGTGGCGTATTACAAAGGTCTGCAAAGCGGCCAAATTGCCGCACTAGCAGGGTTATTTGGCCGGGGGTGTGGGGCAATTTGGCCGGTGTTAGTTTGAGGCCATGATTTTGGTTATAGGCGAGTCAGCTTCACATTCAGCAATGACGCGTGTCCTACGACGCATTTGAAGCATTTTGGAGGTTGACTCAGCCGTCACAGGGGTCGAAAATAGCCAAAATAGCGGCTCTAGATGCGATGACAGTTTTTTACGAATAACTTTTGAAGTAATCAAGTTAGGCCAAAACTAAAAGTACCATCGTAATTCTCTCCTCATTCCGCATCGAAACATGTATGTGTTGACCTCGAAAGGTCAAGGTCAAGGTCAAGGTTGGCTTCAGGTCACGTTACCTCAGGTCGCTTGACGTCAAGGTTACGTGAGTTCAAGGTCATCATGCATATCATTCGATGCGCCTTGACGAGCTGAACACAATGAGACCATTTGCGCGGCTGTATCTTTTTTCTGTTAGTTTTTATTAGCAAAAAAGCGTTAGGTAACCTTTGATGACGTCACATGCCCTTACAGCTGTCCAATAGGAAATATGGCATCAAGGTAGTCAAAGTTGGTCATTAATTATGTCCTTTATGGTATAATTGACCATGACAATTCGGCCGTCCCAGCATAGTGACTCTGAGCGCACCGGCCAAGTTGCCCCGCTAGTCCCGGCCAAATAACCCCACGTTGCCATTCTGAAATTTTTTGTCTATAAAGTCGTCATGGCTGTATAGAACTAGATGAAATTGCTCTTGGAACCGCTGAACACCCTCAAAAATGGCGCTATAATGTTGGAATTCGTTTACAGCCCAAATACTACATGTTATACAAATTTTAAACGGAAGTAAAAGTTACCATTTTCTAACGTAATTCACCTTTTGTTAATTTTGAATAAAACTAAGAGGGGGAAAGCTTTGACATTTGTTCTCGAGTTAGTTCTGCCGATGACAAATGAATAGAGACTAAAGTTATTTCATTCACTTTTATCAGCTTTCGTACAGGTGGGGGCGGCCAATTTACACCACCGGCCAAATTATCCCACTCTCCCCTACGGAAATAGCCCAGGCGGTGCCGGGTTAAAGACGCTCCAAAACCACAACTTTGAAGAATATTCGCCGGTCTCTCGTGTGCTCTGAAAGCCCGGTCACGCAAAGCACCAGTCCGGTTGATAACACCGGCTGAGTCGTTCGCTTGCCGGCGGGGCTCGGCAGCCGGCGCGGGCCCCGCTCCAGACGCCGGGCAGACTCTCCGGCCGCGGGAGCCCCGTACCGGTGTGTTTGACCCGCGGCCGGCGACACTGCCGGAGCGGTCAGTGGCGCCGCCCACTGCTCTATGGTCGCATTGTCTGGTTTAGTTCGTCGACTTTTTCACTTGACTATTGATAATGGACTATTGACTTTTCCACACGTCGGTCTTTCTGGCAAGTACTTACGGTCGCATTTCATTGTAAGCTAACGTATAAAATGCAACCCATTTTATGCATGTCAAGCACAAGATGCGATCTACTGTGATATGACAACACGCTACTGATGTGCCGACCACAACGCCCGCACACATCCGCAAGGAGCTCCTGCGAAGTGGATGCCACAAAAGCGTTGACATCAGACATGTGGAAGAGAATTGACCATTTTCTGGCCAATTTAACGCCTCGTGTTTTAGCAGAAGCGCAAGGCTGACTGCTTTGATCATAGTAAATCCAGTACACCGATGCTGGATGAATATCTGAGACACAGCCTCGTAGGAGACCCAATCAGCAATAACAGATTTTCAAGAACGCAGAGATCAAGAAGGCTGACAAATACTGACGGCGCAGGACTCAGCGCGCGCGCACGTGCGAGCACACGTGCGGGACTAACAAATACAGCAGCCGAGAACCAGCTCCCCGCACTACAATGTGGTTTGGTCGCCGGCCCATTTTGGTCAGTAGGGCGCCGAGTAGTTGCCGAGCTGACGCGGTCAGTGTCCGCGTCTGAGCGCTGGGACGGCTCACCTGCGGCCGGTGGTTGCTGCTGCCGGCCCCCGCTCGGTCGGCCGCCCGCCGGCGCTGCTGTTACTGTAGTCGCTGTAGGTGGCTGGGTCGGGGACCCCAGCTCGCTCAGGGCAGCCGCCGCCGCCAGAGAGGCCGCCTGGACACAGCACACACACGTCACGGTCAAAGGACGGCGCATGGCACGGTCACCCTACGGTACAGATAACAGTAACAACGAGATCGCGGCCAAATCACAGAGCGCAGGGAGCGGTCACACAGCGGCGCAGGCGGTCCGTCGTGCGTGTTGGGTACGTACTACGTAGGTCGACCATGGTAGCTGTGCCTTCTAGCTGATAGCGCCCCTCCCCTTCCTTTCTGCGGATATTCTTCCAGCCAGGAGAGGCCACCACTGACCTGTGAGCTGCTCCGTCCTACAGGGATCACTGCGTTCAGTTCGGGAACTTGGAGCTGCGGCTTATTTACGCCAGGGATCGTCTAGGGAGCGGCGGGGATGGTTGGCGCTGTTCGTGGTGGCACTCAATCCTAGACTTCTGTAAACCAGTATCGGGTATACATTAGTAACAATGGCTGAATCTATAGAAAAATGGCTCAATGAGGCCGATGACGGTCATTTCACACTAGCACTTCATCTTCAAACTTTGCAGTGGTCTTGTTTGGGCGTTTAGTTCCGTCCTCGTCATTCCATTGCGCCCTAATGCTTCTCTCCTGCCATTCTAGTCAACATTCCAAGCACATCAACGCTGCTCGGCATGTGAATAATACCAGGCGACACTGTTGCGTCATGGCCATTTTTAGACATTGCCTTCAAATACCGGCGCAGTATAATCCATTATCCAACCAATCTTCATTTTCTTTCCTAACTAGCTTTGAGAAAACTCTTGCGTCAGCCAGGAGCTCTCAGGAAAACTCGCCGGCCAATCAGTCATGCGCGCGGGGATGATGCACACAAATTATAATAACGAGGGTGGAGCAGTCCAAATAACGAGTGGATCAGTCCACACAACGAGAGTTGAGCAGTCGACAGCAGACACCGAGGACCGAGGGGGGCCGAAGGCGGTTGGTCGGCCGAAAAACGCGAGTCAAAATTTGATCATGAGCTCGCAAATTGCTAATGGTCATATCCCATTAATGTCATACGGAACTTCGCACTACTGAGCTCGTGTATTGCGTGAGTTGTGAAGAAAATGAAGGGATCAATGGCCCCAAAAATGGCGCACTACCCGAGACAAAACTAAGCGATAACGGTTGACTTGGTCCGTATCTGTGCTGGGTTCTCTATAGTCTGAAATAATTGATATGAAACTGCCAAAACGACTGCGAACTACAAAACACCACAAAATGTACATTGAACGTCATGAATAGCTTACAATAACGTACGTTCTACGAAGTGTGCTCGCTAAAGCAGCTTGTTATGGTGTTGACTGTTACGTGTTCTTGCCGTTGCTCGTCGTCAGGTTCACCTGCATCCATTTAATCACCTACGCAGAGTGATATTCTTGTCGATGAAGTGCCATTTTTAATGTTCCTCAGGTAAATGACTAGGTATAACTCGCTTTTTTCGGGCTGGGTGTTAAGAGGTAAAAAATTGTTAGCCCGAGAAAAAAACGATTTATAGTGATAAGCTTGTTGAACTATAAATGTAGTTTATTATTATATATAATATACCACGCTGTATTGTGTATAAAAAATGCAATGTTACAATATCATGTGTCAGTCAGTCGGTCAAACAGTCGCAGCTGGCCGCCGTCACACCATATTGCTGCTATCCTGTAACCCAGGCCGTCAGACATCCAGGACTGGCTGCCCGGCCCGTCTGATTACCTCCAGTAACATGATTCGGATCAGAGGTGTAGGTTCTTAGTCCGGTGGTGTTCAATTTTAATTGATCATTTGAACAACATACAGAACTGAATTTGCAAATAATTTGAAACTTTTTGGAAAGGCCGAAAATGCCTCTGAGAGCATGTCGTCACTCTCAGAACTTAAGGACTTGCGATGTTTCACAACTAAGATTGAGAGAATCATTGACTGAACTCCCCGCCTAATGAGACAACAGGCTAAACTTTGAACGACTGGGTGTCAAAACAGCACAATGCCAAAACGGATCTCGCTCTATCGCGAACAGAGTGGCTGATAAATTCGGCCCACCAGCCGCCGACGGCCCGTTTCGCGGCTCGGAGGCACCCGCCAGCCGCCGGTCGAACCCACCAGTCGCTGCGGTACCCGTCCCAGCGTCCCCCGCCGCTGACCGACGCCCGGCCGAATCCAAACCGTCACGTCTGCGTCGAATGGCGCCGTCACCGGGCGCCGGTTACACAATCACCCCAGTCACATCCGTCAGCCGCCTCCGCGCGCCCGCACCCACAGACAGACACACCGAGACACGTGCTACACCGAGTCAGCATACTGGGCCCCACCGGCCAGACGGATCGTATATTGTGGTTAACGTTAACAAGATAAATGTAGTGCATGGTAATGCCGCCGACTGGGACCAATGGGCATTGAAAAATGGGGGGGGGGATGGCTTGGAAGAGCACTGCTCAGGGGAAGGAAGTACTGACCTGGTCCCGGCTGGGAGAGGGGTACTGACGTGGTCCCGGCTGGGGAGGGATTGGCACTGACCTGGCCCCCGCTGGGAGAGGGGTACTGACCTGATCCCGGCTGGGGGTACTGACTGGTCTCTGCTGGGGGAGGGGTACTACTGACCTAGTCCCGGCTGGGGGAGAGGTTGGTACTGACCTGGTCCCGGCTGGGTCATGAGTACTGACCTGGCCCCGGTTGGGGGGGGAGGGGTACTGACGTGGTCCCGGCTGGGGAAGGGGTACTACTGCCCTGGTTCCGGCTATGAATACTGACCTGGTCCCGGCCGGGGGAGGGGTAGTACTGACCTGGTCCCGGCTGGGAGGGGGCGGGGTACTGACCTGGTCCCGGCTGGGGAGGGAGGGGTACTGACCTGGTCCCGGCTGGGGAGGGGTAATACTGACCTGGTCCCCGCTGGGGAAGGGTACTGACCTGGTCCCGGCTGGGAGCGGACCCGCCGCGGACAGACCGGCCGCTGGGCAGCACCACCGTGGCCACGAACGAACCTCCGTCTGAGGCAACATACGTGTACCGAGGTACTCCTGAAAGCAGAGGACGCAGCTCACTACAGAATACACGGGATCCGACCTCATCTCACCGCGAGCCTCCGTCTGAAGCCGTGTAGGTGTACCGAGGAACTCCCGAAAACAGTGCACACCAGTCGGATTACATACAGGGTGTCTCAAAAGTTCGTTCACACATTTCCCATGCCAATAAAGCATATAAGAACCGGCCAAAAGTATAAGGTTTTGGTGTCTGTGTGTACACTAGACAAATATGCATGCTTTGACAACTGATTAAGAAGGTTGGAAACCAACCCCTTTGCTGTATCTCCAAAAAAAATTGCCCATCCCGATTTTTGTTGCTCCGTCAGCTGCCGGAGGCTGATAAAAGGTTACCAGCTTTCAAGCTCTTGCAGGGGAATCCCCTGCAGTTTCTGCGTCGGATTTAGTTTTGACTAGCTCCCCGGCAACATCTGATTTTCCCTGAAAGCCGACAGCTTGCATCGACACCATTCTTGAGTATTTTGTAGGCATTCTCTGGCGCTAACTCCTTCATGAATGACTGGCGCCGACCTCCCAAGCGCCAGTTTCCTTTTCAAAACGACCCCAGTCCTGAACAAACGGGAAGTGCCAGGAGTAAATTTTTCGCATCATATGGTAGCAGAATGTGTCGGACGTCTGTTTCTCAGACACATTGTGCAAATTTTGCAAATTCCAAGCGCTCGTCATTCCCCATGCCAAGACCTTCGCTCGGTTGCGGAGTGTTTTCCTCGGGAGATGTTCTGCTTTGTAAACGGCCCAAGCCTGTCCATCGTGTGGTTTTGTCGGGATTTTGTGTTTAAAATAAAATTATTCGCAGCAGATCTGCCTCTTGAAACTTCGTTAGATAAAATTTTACAATAACTGACACTTTTGGAGCGTCAGGTGTCCTTGGCATTGACGATTTTTGTGTTATTGTCCCCAAAAATTAGCGTTATAGATATTATAAACAATTTAAATTATAATTTGTCTTTATTTTACGATGACCTGCACTTTTTGAAAATGGGTAACCACTGTCTGTGACCTTCTTGCCAGTTTTCAAAAGTTATGACCGCATTTTCAGCTGCTTCCCGGAACACGAGTCTGCTGTCGTGCGAGGGACGTTCAAAACGCCGTTAGTCTCGCATGGTTTCGTCCTTCAAAAAATTTAGCCACCGTTTTTATGAGATGATCATCATGTTGCACTCATCCTCGCCGACACTTAGCCATGTGTCATTTCCGACTTAACCATTCCCATTACTCCTGAAACAGAAGAGTTTCACAACATACCCGACTTTGCAACCTACATTTTCGTGCCTGACCCATGGTCAGAGGTGAACCCTTTTTGTGAGCTCATGAAGGGTCGAATGCACTTGAAAACAATGAGACTGCTTGAGGAAGGTTGTCACCAACGCCCATGCAAAATTTCGACTGTTAATTTCTTGTTGATTCAGAATTATTGACAAAAAAGCATGGCTAGTACCTGTGAACGAACTTTTGAGACACCCTGTACTACAACGAGAGTACAGCGCACAGGGGCCGACCCCACCCTGTGGCAACACTGAAACAGAGGTGCCCCCGAACATACGAACTCGTACACCGACCGATGATCGATCCCATACCCCTATCTTCAATGACAGGAACAGGTAAGGTAAGGTAGGAATAAAGGATGGCAAATAAACGTCATGTAACTGCGCATCCCTGAGTCGTTATCATAGACACCAGTAGAAAAATGCATTTGCGCAAAAATCAAATAAAATGAATGAAACATCATGAATAATGGTTTAAAGCATAATCAATAAATATATTACATATTTAGACAGGAAAAATTTCAATGAAAACAATGAGACCAACTTTCAATTTAGAAATAAAAATGGCATTCATGCAAACACCAAGTATCAATTGTAGATTTGCAGAACAATCGTTAATGAAAGAAGTCACTGCTAACAGCTCATAACTAGAAGACATATCTGCTCAATAAAATATCCGGTTTCGCATTACTTCGCGTCGCATTTCGTCCAGGAACTGTGTTAGCACACAACGATAAACTGATAAGTGATAACTAATGGTATTCAAACGCTGCCATCTCGTGTGAATGCACCCTACTGATGCGATAGACGATAGCTGTAGTCATTAGGAAGGCATGCCGTCACGCAGCTCGCAATGTTCACCTTTCTGCGAGCCGCATTGTCCGGGCCTCAGTCTGAGCGCTGGCAATGTCTGACTGCAATGCGCCGTGCGGAGACCGGCTATTGAGTTGAGCGCCACCCGCATACCAATTAGTGGGCGCACCCCCGCGCCCACATACTGCAGCGGTGTGCGGACACACTGCGCCCATTCACTGCCGCGGTGTATGTGTATGCGGACAACTCGGGCCGTCAGGAGCAGTCCGGGCAGACAGTGAGAGGGGAGGGGAGCCGGGCTGGCGCGATCCGCGTCCCATCTCTCCTGGCAGCGGTATCGCACCCTCCGTCTTCTGTCGGCCATCGATCAGCCACCACTCTCGGCGACTGCCGGCCGGCCGTCCCCGGGCATCCACCTATCAACACCCCCGCGGATCGCCTCCCGGCCCGGGCATCCACCTATCAACACCCCGCGGATCACCCTCCGTCCCGGGCATCCACCTATCAACACCCCCGCGGATCGCCTCCCGTCCCGGGCATCCACCTATCAACGTCTCTGACCTGCGAAAAAAGCTCGGGTGGTTGTCCCCGCGTCATATGGCTGATTACCAAACCCTTGTTATCGCCCACAAAGCCATTCAGCGCGGCGAACCCGAGGAATTGGCAACCATGTTCGTCACAAACAGCGCTGTCCGGGAGAGACACTCCAGGCAAGATCACCTCTTTCACCTTCCGCGACCACGGCTGGAAACGGGTAGGCGGCGGTTCGGCTATCGAGCCGCTGCTCTACTCAACAGTCTCCCAACTCAGCTGTCGCAGCTGTCTCCCGCCCCCTTTGCCCGATCTGTTAAAGCCGCGATAGTGGATGGGACATCAACTGATCGTCGCTGACCAACGGGTTGGTGGGTGGGTGAGTTGTACCTGTGTTACTACGAAAGTGTCTCTGTCCTTGCTTTGACGTGAGTGAATGTGTGAATGCTGTGAATGTTTAGATTAGTAACCGCGGATACGGATTCTGAGCAGTAATCGCCACGCACTTTCAGAATGTGGATCGCTCATGATTGTTCAATACAATACAATACAATACAATACCCCCGCGGATCACCCTCCGTCCCGGGCATCCACCTATCAACACCCCCGCGGATCGCCTCCCGTCCCGGGCATCCACCTATCAACACCCCCGCGGATCGCCTCCCGTCCCGGGCATCCACCTATCAACACCCCCGCGGATCACCCTCCGTCCCGGGCATCCACCTATCAACACCCCCGCGGATCACCCTCCGTCCCGGGCATCCACCTATCAACACCCCCGCGGATCGCCTCCCGTCCCGGGCATCCACCTATCAACACCCCCGCGGATCGCCTCCCGTCCCGGGGCATCCACCTATCAACACCCCGCGGATCACCCTCCGTCCCGGGCATCCACCTATCAACACCCCCGCGGATCGCCTCCCGTCCCGGGGCATCCACCTATCAACACCCCCGCGGATCACCCTCCGTCCCGGGCATCCACCTATCAACACCCCCGCGGATCACCCTCCGTCCCGGGCATCCACCTATCAACACCCCCGCGGATCGCCTCCCGTCCCGGGGCATCCACCTATCAACACCCCCGCGGATCACCCTCCGTCCCGGGGCATCCACCTATCAACACCCCCGCGGATCGCCTCCCGTCCCGGGGCATCCACCTATCAACACCCCCGCGGATCGCCTCCCTCCCGCCCCGAACCCCTATCAACGCCCCCGCCTGTCGCCGACCGTGCGAGCGCCGCTCGGTGTCGGGATTCTATATTAGCAGGCTGCCACCCTGCTGGCGTTTCTCGGCTTCCCATTGACGAAATTCACGTGGGGCGTGTTGATCAACAATGCGAGGCCGCAAAACGGTAGCAAGTAGCTTCCAGAAATGGCAGAGCCGGCAGCATGCTGTCGGCTCTAGCGTACAGTGGCGACAGAACAGTGGTCCGTTCCAACACATCTAGCCTGTGTTCGGCATCCGGAAAATGAGGGCTAATTTTCCGGGATCACCGGTAGCATTCGGAGTTTTAGGCTCACACCCTGCACCACGGATATGACAACGAGTAATAGAACCATTAGGGAAACAATAGCAATCTAAAACGTGACTTATTGCATCGATGGTCCCTGCAATACCAAATAATGACCGGTGGTCCCGGAAAATTATCCCTCATTTTCCAGATGCCGAACGCACGCCTAATCTGGAACCGAGCTCCCACCTGACGGTCGTGTCTTCGTCCCCCAGTTACCGGCGCTACCACCTACAGCTGATGATGGTGATGGATTGGGGTTTTTGGGCGCCCGGACTTGGGACTGCAGCTGACCAGCGGGCCCCGCGCCCCTGTGTAATCTCACACCTAGCGGGCCACCCGCTCTGATCACCCCCCCCTCCACCTGTCCGGCGGCCACCCCCCCCCCCCACCTGTCCGGCGGCCACCCGCTCTGTGAATCCCCCCCCCCCCCCCCCCCACACACACACACACACCTGTCCGACGGCCACCCGCTCTGATCACCCCCCCCCCCCCACCTGTCCGGCGGCCACCCGCTCTGATCACCCCCCCCCCACCTGTCCGGCGGCCACCCGCTCTAATCACCCCCCACCTGTCCGGCGGCCACCCGCTCTAATCACCCCCCACCTGTCCGGCGGCCACCCGCTCTGATCACCCCCACCTGTCCGGCGGCCACCCGCTCTGATCACCCCCCCCCCCCCCCCCTGTCCGGCGGCCACCCGCTCTGATCACCCCCCCCCCCCTGTCCGGCGGCCACCCGTTCTGATCACCCCCACCTACCGCCATCGGTGTTCTGCAGCAGCCGCAGCAGACGGTCACAGGAGTCGAGCTGCTGGGCGGGGCGGACCGGCTGGGCCGGGGCCGGGGCCGGCCGGACGGGGTGCGCCGGGGCCTCAGCGGGCGACTGCAACACACAGACACAGCGGTCACCACTCACCCAGTCTACCCCCGCACAGACGTCAGCCGCGCCGCCTGAAATGCGAGCACACAGGTAGGTGCAGCTGGTCGGGGTGGAGATGTAGCAGCGAGGATTGACACGGGGCAGTAATGTTTGCTTTTGTTAACTGCGACATACCTTTGAACCAACAAAATGAGAGAGGCGAAAGTAACAAATGTGAAGACTGTGGAATTTTCCTCATGTTGTTCGAGTAACGTTTGTAGAGGAAAGCGTTACACCGAACAAGTTTATTTGAAACCGAAAACAATGCATATTTATGAGCCAATAAAACTTAAACTTAACATAATCCGTTGATGGAATAAAAAAATCGATAACGCTCCACAACAGCCACGTAACCATAAAGATCTTATAGATGTATATGATCCAAACTTCCGAAAAACGGTGTAAGTGATTCAGTCGCCTCAGTAGCGTCCCAGCTGTTGCATCGACTACAAGTCACCAATCAATTATGTCGCAGCTTGAGTGGGCTAATAAAGATATCGAGCAAAAAAAGGTGGAAAAACAAGTCTGGAACAAAACCGACTGGTGTAAACAAACACGAATGATATGAGCAATCAATGTCAAAACATCGTACCGATCAGAGCGTTCTGATCAGCCATACGATCGAAGAGATCAGACAGCTCTAAGTCCCAACTCCCAAGGTTCGGCGCCCCGAGTGATTCACGTCAGCCCAGTGTCACCGGCATACGGCCACCGACTCTGACGGTTTGCACTTTGCACTGCCGTCGTAAGTCCTCACAGTTCACCGGACATGACCGGATGACGTTTGCGTCACGCATCATTCCGGTCTCCTGCACCGGGGACAGTCGCGAGCAGGTGGAAGCAGGACAGCACTCGGAGAGTGACACAACGAGCGACGGCCGAGATCGTCTGAGAGGGACGACAGCCACCCGCCCCCTCAGGCAACTCGGCCGAGCATGAGGCGGCTCACCGACGCGGGGCCCGGAAGCTCGCCACTTCCGCCCGCCAGGTGCGCCGACAGGCGGACAGCGGACGGTGACTCTACCATAAGATGGAGGTCTGAAGACGCGGGTCATTCACATATCTGTCTTACTCCAACAGTCAGTCTCGGAAGGAGACGCGCTCCAGCGCCTGAGGTCTCTTCGCCGTCGGTCCGGATGCCGCGATACAGTTTATCAGCCGTTAGCCAGCAGTTACTCCGGACAATTGAGCAATTTACCATCTCCCAAAGACAGTTCGACAAAGCCGGCGCGCAGTGCACGGTCAGCCTGCTCCAGTGAGTAAATTCCGACATTGTGCGTGGCGATCCATTCTCCAGCGGACCCATTCAGCGGCTACGGTCTGATCCTGGCCTTTGAGCCACCTTCATCACCGGCGGCGCGGCGGTTATGGCGCACCCGCCGCGAGCAGCGACCTCTGACAAACGCCCACGGCCGCCGCGCTGAGCGCCGCCGGCGACACGGGCCCTCCGAGCGCCGCCCGCGCGCCGGCTACCCTGTCAAAGGCACCGGCGCGGCGGGTTTCACCTGTTCTGACACAGTGCTGATTAACCGGCGCCGCCCCGCTGCAGCCTGTGTGGAGTTGGGCACCGATGCGAACCAGCCGGAGACACACAGAGAGCGAAAACAGGTACCCAGTACCGCAGGCGGATCATAAACAGTATCCGATTTAATTCAAAGAGAACACCAGCATCAGGGCTTCTAATGACAGTGAAACACCATCCGATTCAAGGTTATTGGATAACGAGCCAAAGCCAGCTGTACCTTTCTAGTCATCTGTTGTCCAGTGTCTGTAGGTAATTGACGTTTTTTTTGTCGTGATCATTGATAATAGCATCGGAAACAACATCAATTGATCCCCGACATGGCACAATTGTAAAGAAACGACGTAAATAATGCGAAAAAATGCTGAAATGACACCAATCATCCGGAATTTCAACGGTCTCAATGACGGACGGCGCAGCACAGCATAATGCCGTCCCGGGTACCCAGAGAAGGTAGGTAAGTATAAGAGTAGGATAGAATAGAACGCTTGCATTTCTGTTTGCTTTCCTTCCGGGGAAGTTGTCAAACATTTCAGGCACAATAAATTCCACCGACTCATTAAATTCCCAGCGGGACATTGATCGAATGTGATGAGGTTATACGCAAATGTTCCGAGATATGATTTACTGTCAGAGCTAACCTCTGTCTAGACCGTCTGGGTCTGCGGCGATCTCGGGGAGGCGGTCTGGCTGGTTCCTGGGCCGCGGCAGGCAGCGGGGGAAGTCGGGCGGCGCTGGAAGACGGCGGAGTTGCGCACATGCCACAATAACCTGTTAGGTAGCGGGGGCTGCAGGAATGCTGCGTCTGCTGTCAGCTTATAGTTGCCCATTACCGAAGCCACCGGCAGGAACAGCATTGTTCATCATAACAATGGTAAGCTTCTGAGTGAAACATTCCGGATCGACCTTGACGTGATACCGCTGGGAGGGAAACTGACAAGGCAGCTATAAGGCAAGGCAGCTCCATAATCTTGTCCTGGATTTTAGGAATAAGAACTCCCCTATTTCGTTTTAAGTCATCAATAATATACAAACTGACTCGGGGTTCACTGTTCATATACTTGCTCACGAGCAATTCGGGAACACGGTTTGCTTGTTTGTTTCTTTGATAGTGAACAAAATCCATTCATTCAAGGTCATTTGTTCACGAACAATGCTCTGATCACGAACCGTTCAAGAGCGTTCATGAATGACCATGAACAAGCCATCATTTCTTATATCATTTGCGTTAGGTATTATTTCCATACAGTGACATACACGTTCGCAGGTTCGTTCCACGTAGAACTGAAAAATACAATTAACTTATCGCAAGCACATGGCATCGTGATATTTAGGTTCGCTTCTTGTAAGTTCAAACGCAAACTTTTGCATGCTGTAGTCTGTACCTTCCATGACGTGACATAAGACGTCACAGGGGTGATTCGATGTAATCAAAGCTTTATTCTCAATTCTCGATCCGATTGAGTTGGCGAATCTTGAAAACGACCAATAAACCCAGGAAGACCCACCGAGCCTACCAGACAGTGACGCTCGAGGGCCCCTCGTTAGTCATCCGGCCGTTTAGGCAAAGAGCGGCTATAATCTACAGCATGCAGATACCTACAAATACAGCTTAGAAGAGCGTTGAGTTACGAGTGCTATGCCGATTTATTTGATGTATATTATAAGAGAACATCCAGTATATGTATATGTTGCGGTGGTGAAAGAACTGGTGTTACGACTTGTCATATAACCACTGTGTGATTACATGCGCCATCGAAAAATAGATATCTAGCATCTGCGAATCTCACAACTATCCCGGGAATATCTGACGCAGGCACAGTTAAGACTGAATTCTTATCGCCTACCCTAAATCCTCGTAAAACGCACCGCGCAGCAATAGCACCACCTATATCCTTCGAGGCGGCTGGGAAATCCTCTCTAAAACGCGACCGATCGTGCCCGGATCCCGGGCGAAATCCGGCCTATAACGCGTTCGAAGGCCGCGTTACCGCCGGTAGTCAGGCACATTGCGTTCAATCAGCTATTCAAACTGAATGGAGTTAAAAGGACTCGACTACTGCACAACACTGTTCTATGGAGGAGGAATTGTGGAGGGGTTTCCCACGTAGCGGACAAAATTATGAACAACAAAACGCAACAGCAAAACGGACCTGGGGGTCGAACCGAGAACGAACACACAGACCAAGTTTGTATTGCATCACTGCCGGTACGCCTACATTTTGACTAAACCGCCATAAACTTAAAGCTGAGCCCTCCGTCAGCCCGCGACACACGGCTTCTCAAGTTGGCGCCAGCGAAAATAAAAAGGGATGCTGCGGAACTCCCAGCGTAAGAAAAGAAGCAGACTGGAAAAGCAAAGTAACACGGGATCGCTGTGTGTAGGAAAGCAGCAATGTTTCAAAGTGTCCATGACAGGTGATCATCAGAAATTCATTGAGAGGTAATGGTGATGATTTGGGTTCAATGGCACCATGAACAGCAGCTGAATGTCAACAATGCTCATTTCTCCATTTTGAGACCATGCTTCGACATGGTAAGGCCCAGAAAGAGACAGCGACAGGATCATTGAAACGGACCAACCGACGAGTTCCCCATAGTCCACTAGACACAATAATGTAAATTATCAGGGAAAACGATATGCGCATTTCCAGCTTGTTTGTCTCATACGAATATGAGCAAGGTAAAGGTATCACCAGGTGAAGACTTAACCCGCGCATGATTGGGGGGGGGGGGGGCTCTACAGAGCCCCCCCTCCCGTTTTTCAGCAATATTTTCTAAACCGTTTGACGGATCAACACGAAACTTACGGTACCCTCAGAGGCATCAATTTGACACCTTGTGTTAAAATTTCAACTTTCTAGCTACCATAATTTGGCCGGAAATGACGTCAGAGTGACGTCATGTCGGCCGATTTTCATGCAAAATACTGAATTACGGCAAACGCTCTCAAGAGCTCAGTTTTAAAGCTAGATCCATTTTCTTTGCATGAGTGGACTACAAATACACGTAGCTATCAAACTACTATCTCGAATTTTCGAAATTTTGAAAATTTTGAAAAATAAGTATTTACAATTATTTAAAAAAAAAATTATTTTTCAAAAAGTTTTTGACTTTTCGCAAAAATCGGAATATATGTGATAGAACACACACTGATGAACTACCTTGGCAAGTTGTAGCCCAATATCTTCAAAAATAGCCAAGTTATTCGCATTATTGTCAAAATTTTACAATTTTATGTTTTTTTTCAAATCCATTTTTCAGTACGTTTTTGACGTCGTACAGCAACATAAATGGCACCATTGTGTTCCTGAGCTCAAACTGCATCTGATAGGCACCTTTTTGGTTGAAAAAATTCATTTTCAAAATTTAACCTTTTCTGACCTGAAAGTGACCTGACCTCCGGTAAATTCAGCTGACAATGACCTCAAATGACACAGAC